ATAATTGTAGCAAGATTGGGGTTTGGAAGTTACCCACACCAAAAAAATTTGCAATCAAAGAGTCATAAGTTTCACTTTAGAACTGTCAACCGTTGCTGGTTCAAGACTATACCAACTCTCACTCAACTCTTACCCTTGCGTGCCCCATTACCGCCTCTCCAACCACATCCAACACTTCCGAGAGCGGAAAGTTCAAAAAAATGTTCGTTTCGGGTCTACAGGTGATTTTTCCAAATACCCTTGAGAATTGGAGCGGAAAACTTTCCAGCCTGTTCCTATTCACTGGTTTAATTACACGTCGAGGAAAATGGAGGGAACGATTTTGTAATTGGTTCTTGTCAGCACTTTGGGATGTGGCCAGAGGACAAAAAGCTTCACCAATGCACTTCTTGCATTACTGGTTTCGCTGCACGTTTTTATTGCTTCCAAATCTAAATTTAGGAGCTGAGAATTGCGTTGTCTGATCAAAAAAGTATTGCACTTTCCAACAATTTAGCGCAATGCAAAAGTTTGCAACCTCAAGGAATATTTGCTCAAGACCCTCCACTTGCGGTCGCAACGCATGGGGAGTCTTATTTCTAGAGGTTCTTGCTAGCGACTTCGACCATGATAGACCGCCGTTTTCCGGGTATTTCAGCATATTCTTTTCTCATATTTTCTCATTAGTAGCCAGTACTCCAACAATAATTTTTATCGGTTGAATGTATTATTTCTTAGATCCGATATTGTGAATGGATAGTTTTAGGGCATAAAAATGCCAAAATAAGTCAAGCAAAGGGAGTCTTTTCCTAGTGCGTGCATCACCATGTGGTCCGTCGTGTTGAAGGCACATTCCACGCTGAGCATAACGGCGAAGTTACTGAGGCTATTGCGTCTTCCCATCTGTACCCTCTTTGGTACCTTGAAAATGGGGCCAAGGATGAGAAACTGTAAAAGCGCATTTATCCAAATAGCTTCGCCTATAGCTTCAACGTTAAAGGAGGATTCCACGATGATGTCGAAGGGCGTAGAAGAGG